CCCCAAAACCCCAAAACCCCAAAACCCCAAAACCCCTGAAAATTTTATTTTCATTGAAATTTTAGGCTACTGTTGAGTTTTGGCTTATGTTGAAAATCGAGATTTTGGGGGTTGGAATAAGCTTTGATTGAGGTTTAGAGTGGGGATAAAGCAAATCTCTAAATCCTGCAAGGAATTTTTGGTTCATAGATCTGTAATCTCTTGTTTTGAAATTTGCTCTTCTTCTCACACAAGACTTTTGAGAGAAGGAAGACCAGAGATTTCAGGAATAAAATTCTCAAAGAAATTTGTTGATAATTCTGTGTTCTTGAATGAGAGCTTGGACAAAGGACTTGAAACTGTAGGGGCGAAGGAGTCTGATAGGTCAATGGTACAGTATGGAAAGCTCAGTGTTCCAGTGAGTTTTGGGATGCTAGAAATGATATCTGAGAGATTTTGAGCATTTATGGTAAAATAGTAGAGTTTCACCTCTTTCCTCACATGTTTTAAAGCATCAGTGATACTTTCAATGTAAAAATTGATATCTAACTCTTCCCCACTTCTGTTTAGAGTTCCAAAATATCAAAATCATGCCTAAAAATCATCAACCAAGCCTCACCTCACAGAATTCGTTAAAAATTGATTAATCTCCTCATTCTCCTCCTGAAAATGCGATATATGTATACTTTTGAACTCTTTTGGCATCCTAAACCCTCATTTTCACCCTAAAACCCCAAATCTCCGCTTACACTCGTCCTTCAGCCAACAGGTCCAGTCACCACTGATCCCTGACATCAATTCTAAAGTAATCATCCCCAACGCTATTATCCTCTTTCCCCACATCTTGGCCTATTTTCTCTTCCTTCATCTTAACTATCTCCTTCAGTCTCTCTACTTCCTTCGAGGTCTTCTTTACCTTCTTCACTTTATTCCCTTTGGCTGAACAAGCGTTTCCCATTTTTTACAAAATTTGTAAAATTTTAAAAAAATTAAGGGGTTTTGGGGTTTTGGGGTTTTGGGG